GGACGCCGCGTGCGCCCCGTCCGCGCGCGCGGGGACCCTGCGCTCCTTGTCTCGCAGTGCCCTCTTTCCCGTCCTTTTTTTTCTCTTTTATTTTAGCTTTTCTCGGAAGTTTCCAACGTTTTCCTTCTTACTTCGTTTTCCCCATATTCCTGTTCTCATACACACCAGTGTTGTATTCTGTTACTTTGTTTTACCATTCTGTTCCTGTGAAGTGTTTTATTTCATTCCATTTTACGTATTTACCCTCTTCTCGCGCCTTCCTCGCCGCTCCGCTCTGGCTGCCGCAGGCAGGTGTCCTGCGGACGGGCGTGCGCGCGGAGCCGCGAGCAGGGCAGGGGAGCGCACTGCGGCCGTCGGGGCCCTCGCGCCGCCGCCGGGGGCAGGTGGCTCCTGGCGCGTTCCGTGCGGAGAAGCTGCGGGGCTGCTGCGCCCCGGCACGCGCCGTCGGCGGGGAGCTGGGGCCGCGAGGAGCCGCTGCTACGGCAGCGCCGGCCGCGCTTCCAGCGGAGCCGTTGGTATGAAAAACGTGTTGGTATGAAAAAATAATTCTGGCGAGGTCTGAAAATCACGGCGACGGACTGCGGGTGGGGGCCGCCCAGCACGGCCGGTGTGGGCCGAGGTCTCACTGCGTTCCCTGCCGCGCAGCCTCTCGGCACGGCGGGCGACGGGAGCCTGTGCAGCCCTTGTGTGCAGCCCCCTCGGGCTTCCCGGGCGGCAGTGGGAAACCGGACAGTTTGCCTCCGGTTGCCTCTCCGGAGGCTTTGAGAGTGCGAAGCCCTGCCAGAGGCTGCAGGAGCTGCCAGCAGAGGGGACGGGTGCCTGCAGTGCCCGTGGCCCCGCGCGGCCGCGGAAGCCCAGCTGGGGCTGCCCGTGTTGCCCAAGTGCCAGCAGGGAGGTGCGTGCAAGAGCACAGTTGTTCCTTACGGTCCCTGCGGCAAGCCGTGCAGCGGGGCTCACCTGTGGCGACACTGCGAGGCGGGAGCAGCGGGAGCGGCTGCCGGCCCCGGCCGCGCAGCAGCGGCAGGTGATGTGCGATGGGCGAGAGCGCGCCGGGAAGCGCCGCGGAGCGGGAAAGCAGCCGCTGCGCCTGCACTTTGCAAGCAGGTTACCTGTCTGGTTATTCTGGGGGCCAAAGGGAAGTTTAAATCCTAAAATGTCATGAAATCCTACAATAGGTCAGGTCAAAAAGCACCTCCGCAAAACCAGCATCAGGCAGCACAGTCACTGGCAGCGTTAGGCAGAGAGAACCAGGGGCAGTCACCACACATCACGCCAAGCGTTGTTGCTCTCCCCTGCCCCATGGCCGTGTTTTGGGGCAGTCACGTATGGGCTTCACGTACAAGCCATCCATGGAAGAGCAGGCCACGGCACGGGGCCACGAGTAGCATCCCGCTCCGCACATAGCCACTCTGCTTCCCCCCACCAGAGGCAGGAATTCCCTCTGCAGAGAGGAAACGGTGACAGTTTTTCTATTTGCAGCACATTTGAAAGGCAGCAAATGCCGGTTCTTGCAGAGACAGCCGTGGATTAAGTCCATTATAAAATTAAAACAGATGGAACGCAATTTCACTTRCATTACAAAAAAAGGACAGGAACCATCTGCAATAAGATTTAGCATTGCAAAGCTATTGTTATCGTGTTACCATTAAAACCTTTGATGAACATTTTTCTTTTCTTTCACAAACTTGTTCACTTGAAACAAATGTTTTATTTATCCATCTCCCCAAGATAATCATGTTTTATTTAAAAAACTGACATCTCCCCAGGACCCATCACTTGGTTCTAGTGCAGGACAAACAAAGAAATGTTGTAAAACTCCACCTTGGAGCCAGCCAGGGCTTAGACGGGGTGGACGGAGCAAAGGAGAATTCCCCATCCATCTCTGTTAAAACAAAAACACTTTTTTGTGTATGTGTATTTGGGGACAATGCCTGACACTGAAATAGATAATTAATGAGATAATGGGATACTGCATGTCACCTCCTGTCCAATGGGATTACTTGATGGCTAATTATGGACAGATTGTGATTAATGTGATTATGGATTGGATATTAATCTGATTCTGGATTGATCTAGTTATGTTTTAGTCTGCTCCAAATGGTTAATTGGATCTGAGATAATAGAAATGCAGCTTGCACCAGATTTTGCCACATCAGTTGATGAAGCATCTTTTGATCTGGGTGGGTTGCGAACAATAAATTATTTACAGCTGTTGAGAAAACGACTCTTCCTGAGAATGTAGTCATTCATTTTAGTTTCGCGAGCCTTTGAAAACAAAATCAATATCCTTTTCAGAAGGAGATGTTGACAAAAGAAAGGCACGTACATAACTCACAAACAAACGCGCCCGAGCGCAGCGGCGGTTGAGCCGGCGGTCTCGCGCCCCGTGATGCACTCGCATCGCTATGTGGCGCTTTGGGCGCAATTCTTGTGCGAGCAGCGGGGGCCGGCGGCGGCGCGGGAAGCGGCGCGGCTCCGCGGAGGCAGCGTTGCACAAGAGCCCCGCCGGCCCTGGCGCGGCCAGCGCCTGCCGAGCGGCCCCGCCGGGCCACCGGGGAAGCTCGCGGCGTCCTCTGCTCCGGACCGCGCCGTGGGCACCGATCCCTTTCTTTCTGGCCGACCCCAGTCCTCTCCCAGAGAGGCTGCTGCCTTAGCCCGTCCGCACGCTGCTTTCACTTGAACAGCAAATTAGGAATATATTCTGGAGTCAACCAGCAGCTGCCGGGTGTTGCGGTGCCGCAGGGTGCTGGATTGAAGGCAGCGGCTATGCTCGAGCCTGGAGAAGTCGCTGGGAAGGCTCCTCTTCAGCTCCCCTTAGAAACTCTGCATTTGGGAAGCTGCTTCCCTTGGGTTGCCAGCAGGGCATCCATGCTGGCTTCTCTGACTGGGCTGCTCCTAAAGGGGTCGGGAATAAAGAGTCCAAGTGAAACAGGTCCCCCAAAACAGTTTGAAGCAGAGGCCTGTTGAGACTACTGCCCTCAGCACAGAAATGTTGCTTACTGAGTTGAAATCAGWGCAAGGGAAATATGGGCATAACTTTCCCAAAGCACTTGCAGGCATCCCATGGGCTACTCCCAGGGAGCATTACATGTGTAATGGGTTCCAGGGAAG